CTTACTTACTTACTTACTTACTTACTTACTTACTTACTTACTTACTTATTTTTGTTATTAGGCATTTTGACATCCAATAAGTGATAACATCCTTTTTAACTATAAATCAAGTCAAAGTACTCTATGAAGCACATTCAAAACAATTGTGTCGTCCAAAGTGCTTTAAATATTACAAATACTAAAAGGACAAAATTGAATGCCTGATCATAAGAACAATCCAATATGATAAACAGATAGAAGTGAAAAAGTCAAATTTGAGGAGAAACATGTGGGACGTGCAGATTTGCTACCATCATTCATGTGTGAAACATTTTTTCGCAGGTTTTTTGTTAGACTTTTATACCAAACATTTTTACATGCACACTAAGCTCCTTACTTTAACACCCCCACCCCCAATCCTGTTTAATTATCAAAGGTTCTTAATTACTGCGACTTTTGGGAAGGTTATCCCTCCCCACTGAAACATTCTTGGCCATAACTCTTTGTCATGTGTCTCCCTACAAATCTGTCCATACCTAGGTCGCTTTTTTGGATTGTCCTAGTTTCCAAAATCCTGCACCAGAGCCTCTCAGGTGATTTGTTATCAGCAGATCTCAGATTTGCTGACCCGCAATAGCTGAGCTCCCAGTTTGAGTATTTTTACAGAGGAGCTTTCTCTTAGAAACCCCTCTGTCATTCAATCCCCCCAGTGTGCCATGCTTTCTTAGACAGTCTCATGTAGTGACACAACACAGCATTTAGATGCTTCATTTATCCACTAATGTCACTTTATCTCTACATTACCTGAAACAAGCCACCTATCAACTAAATATACTGTAATTGTTAAAAATACCTCTTAAAAACATTTCTGAACCACAGTATTTTTAGTCTGAAACTTGGCGTTTAAGACAGAACTGAAATATTCTGCACAATTTTTTGTTTTAATTTTTCCATTAACCATTTAAAATCATCTCTGTTAGCCACATATATCTTGAACCAGTGGTTGGATTTTAATTAAACTTTCAGGAAATAATCAGTTGATGTAGGTTATGTAGTCAACCCAACGAAATATGGCCGCCGCAGCTGCCTGAGATTGAAAAAGGTGAAAAAGTCTATAGTTCAGTGTAATGCACAGTTTTTGTGTGACATTCATTGGCCCAAAATGTTGCTCAAAACTTTAGCAWTATCTGTTAACCCTGTTTGTCTTTTAGGAAAGGTCTCACCAACCACTGCACAGTTTTAATGAAACTTTCAGTAATTATTTGATGTACAGTAAATCTACAGGTTTTTTTAATCCACTTCAATATGGCTGMTGTGATTGGCATTACAAAACAAAACAGCTATAGCTTCAATCAAATCACATTTATTGAGTTAAACTTTGATGCGGTAGTGTCTGAGAGTGTTACATAAAACATACTTTTTGTAATTCATTCTTGTGCGTTCTGCTCTCTGTGTTTTCTGGTATCTGACTGCAGCATCTCTGTGTGTATTTTTTCTGTCAGGACTGCTTCTCTATGGCTAACGTGTCCTGGTACGGCGGTGCCAGTGTCCGCGGTCAAACCTGGCCAATGAACGATCAAAACGCAATGATGCAGCCCTTCGTCATCAGTGATCTGAAGGACACACCCTCTGGATTCGGCTCTCCTCTGGAACGCTACTTCCTGGGTTCGTCTGGTAAGGTGCTGCTGATGGAACTGATCGTTATCTATCCACTGAGGCTTGCTGTTGGAGTAACTGCTCCAGATTCCATGTTTTCTAATGTGTAACATGACACAGGGTCAGCTGTTTCTAACAAGAGTTGTGGAAATGCGACCCCGCCTCAGTGGGTGCACAATGTGCAGTGTGTGAATCCCAGGCTGTGAGGGAACTCCCGTGGACACTTGTGTTTTCATACCTCTTTAACCCCACATGTGTTTGTTTGTGTTTGAACTCAATAAAAAATAGAAAACTTCAGAGACAGCACCTCCAAACCACGGCAGCTGACCTACAAATAGAGCGAAACACGATGCTGTCTGTGGAAACGTGTCTGCGGCATCTCAGTTGATTAATTTAGGATTACACCACAAAGGGAAACAAACCACCGTTAGCATCTTATATTAGCTCTAAAGAATGCTGGTTTAATTGCCTTTTGTCTCTATRAAAAGGGCTGTTTGAACGAGAGCCCGGCCGTCCCGTTAAAGTCTCCAGGTTATTTTTGGGAGTGTTAGATTTTATCCTGGGAGGCAAAGAGGGAATGTACCAGAGGATGTGAATGGTTAGTGTGGCTGATGAGGAATGTGTACAGTGTGTGTGTGGGCACGTTTTTGCTACGTCGTGGGAACCATTTTCCAGAAAAAGGCAGCCTCGTGGGGACTGAATGTGCATTGTGGTCAGATACTAATTATTCCTTCTTTTCTTTTTTCCC